GAGCCGCCGGCCCGGGCGGCGCCCTGACACGTAGCGTCATCTACTCAATGCTCTCTGTAGTAATTTACAGATACCTGTAAGAAAAGAAAACCAGTTAACGTTAGAATTGTTAATTTACTTTAATGTTCGGCTAAATACACCCTAATTGGCAGCACAAGTATGTAAGGAATAGGAGTTTGTCAATTTGCTACTATCTTGCATCTACATCTGTTCACAGAAGGTACCACGTTTTCTTACTGAGCATTAAGGGCAAAAAGTACAGATCAGAAGACGTCATAAGCTTCTACAGCATAACGTTAGCAGGCTTTAGGCTCTTATATCCAGTACCAGAACAATGGGCACACTGGATATTTTGTGGGTATTGCTGAATAGAAACACAATATTAAAAAAACAGCAGAAGCTTCTTCTAGCACTTTATGAAAACAGTGCAGATTTTATGAACATTTTCAGCAGGTAGTAATACACTTACAAACCCATTATAATTCTCTGATATAATTATTTTTTTTTAAAGTATTTTACTTAGTGGACTGACCTTTCATTTCTGAAATTCAGATGGTTTTACAAAACCAATACTGTGCGCTACCAATAGCCAAAGAAATGTGAAAATCATCAAGCTAGATGACTTTAACTGCTTAGGTGGTAAAGCCAAATCTCAGGAGACAGAAGATATTAAACTGTATTAACTGTATAAAAGAAACAAATCAATAACTTTCATTTGGACAAGCAGTAATTCTGTTATGTATTTTTCTGCTAGAATATTGCACGCATTGCTGGAATGGCAGAACACTGGTAGGGCTCTACCATCTGTGAAGCATGAAAGAAAAGACTCAGTAAGAAAGACTGGGTAGAAAAAGAAAATGAGTGTTTAACAGCTGAAGCCTCTGATACAGGTAAACTATGTTGCAAAAAACATCTGTTCATGACTACAATCAAAAATAGATTTTTTGTTCTTGCAGCTGTTTTGTCTGCAGGTCCTATCACTTAGTGATCTGCAAATAATGATGCAGCCTGGAAAAAAATGTTAAGGAAATGCAGTGCTATACTGACATGGATTAAGAATTAATACAAGTAATGATTTTATTGGTGAGAGTTTGCACTTGATTTAGTCTCTTAAGCTAACTGAAAAGGAATTAGGTTTTTCATTAGTTGAAAAGCTGTCATGGAGAAAAGTTAAATATTATCTATTTAAAATTGAAATAGCCTTTGTGTTGTAATATTTTTAAGGAAAGCCAGTAAATGCAATCTTACTGTGCCCACAGTAAGTAATTTTAACAACTTTTTCATAGGAGACATTGAGAATCCAAAAAAGGATAGAGTAATGCCTCCCTCCAATTTTGGAAAGCATAAAGTGATGAATATAAACTCAGCAAAAAACTTTTGGAAAAGCTTACTGAATTGTTTCACAGGAAGATAAAAAGCTTATAAACAAGTTTCATCAAGCTGCTTGTCTTACAAACTACTTGAGCTCCCTGCTCTATTTTTCAGCTAGAGGATAAAAGCGTACTCTAACAGTAAACCAGTCTTTACAGTACCTAAGGTCTTTCTTTGACTCAAAGAGAGGAGTACTCCTTAGTACAGATTGTGAAGATTATCGCAGCTAGCTGTTTTCAATACATGGCTACAAACTATCTGCATTGTCATTTTCAGTTTTGTGCTATTCTGTTCATCTTCTAGAATTTTAACTAAACCCCAGTTTCATTAGCTTTAATAGGTGCTGGATGGGGCCACTAGTTTCAAAAACGCAAGTACATCGCCTATGAAAGTACTAGGATGTACTTGAGAAAAAGTATATTTCCATTAAAAGTTATCAAAATAAATAGATAAAAGCATGCATTGCTGTAGAGAAAGCACAAAGTGAGAAAATTGGCTAAAAGGAGATAAAAAAATAGAAATGAAAATTACTGTGTCATCAAAAAGATAATGAAGTTTAAAAGAAATGATAAAAATCATTTTATGGAACACTTTATAAAAAATGCAGTGTAACTCAAGCCGATAAAAATAAGGGAACTTTGTGTATAGGAGCTGTTACTAATTAGACATTGCTAAAGCCAGAATTAACACTTCATTTTTATGGTCTGACCAAAAAAAAAAAAAAAGCTTCTCTTAGCATTGCCTGATTTTATCAGCAATAAAGATGTAATAGTATAGCAATATAGCAATAGTGCATGCTGTTTTTCAGGGAGCAGTCCATAAGCAGCAGTAATGAATCATGCAGTAACATGAAGACCCATACTAAAAAGGAATTTAGAAGTCCCAGCTCCATATGCCATAAATGCTTTTTGTGCTTTTGCAAGATAATGGGCTTGCAGATAACACTCTTAGTATCCCGGAACCTGTGCACCATAATCTGAACTTGACACACGCAAGGACAACCACAACTCCAGCCCTCCCTCTTTCTTATGGTTTAAGAACTGTCAGTTCAGTTATTGACTTGATTGCACAAACTCTTGTTCACATCAGTAATTCCCTTAATGTCAGTGAAGTTATTCATTTGATTAAGCCCACCTACATCAAAAATCTTTATTATAATGAGAATTACAGCCTTTCCGGTCCTCGTAGGCAATTATTATTAATATCTAGAAGAACAGAATGGAAATCCATAGCAGACGTCTGCCAGTTATTTTCTCATGACTCACAAATTCTCACTTAGCTGCTAGCAACACCTTTACCATACAAATATCAATTAAGAAACAGCATTTAAAAACTAGAGAAAAATTAGCACAAAATATGCTGTTATCAAGCACTACCAAAGCTCTCAGTACTGTAGGTGTACTGTCTTTATCCTAAGGAGTTTGCACTCCTCCACAGATGATAAATAATAGCTTGGGACACATTCAGGTAGACCCATTGAAGGTGAGGGGGAGAATGCCATTTGAAACTTGTGAGATCAGTTTTTCAGTCCAGGTAGTTAAAACATGTTGTCTCAAGTGATTTATTTTCTCTTTTTTCTTTGGTAAAGTATCAGAAAAGACTTTGCAGGAAAACTCCATATCATAGGAAGGATGTGAATGAAAAGGTACTTGTTGTAAAGTGATAGCTTTTCTGAACAATTTTCCTTCTTTTCCCATTTGTGCTTATAGAAGTTTGATGAGAACAAAATCATTGTGTATGGCTCTAATACGTCCCACATTTGGGACATATTTGGAGGTCATACCTACCATGAGGTATGTTTATCCAATGGGAGAAATAATTATAAAAGAACAGGCAATGAATTAAAGCACCTCCAATTTCTGAAAAGTCATATAAAAATAGCTGATATAGTAGCACAAATATACAGATAATGAAAAAAATAAGAATTGGGAAATATAGTAAAAAGTAAAAGATGGTGACAAAGTTTTGTGTCTTATAGGCTGAGATGAGTATCATGGAAGACACAAAGGCAACATCCTCTTTTGCTATGCCTTACTGAAAGTATAGGCTTCAACTCTGGTGAGCAGCAGAAGAACAATTATTGAGCTGATAAAAACTGCCAAAGAAACTTCCCAAAAGAAAAACGAAGAACCACCATTACGCATTTTATTGTCAATCTGAAACAGCTGACTGCCGGAAAATGTAGCCATAAAAGTAAAATATAGCTTAAATCCCTCATTTGCCTAAGCTTGCAGGAAATGAGAAACTTTCACAACTGAAATGTCTAACGATACCATATTCTACAGTTTATTTGCAACTAAGTGCAAACAGGGTCTCCATGTTCTTTTCTTATTTCACAGTTTAGTAACCTGTGCTGACAACAGTACTGCAGCTCAGGATGAAAATTTAATTTATTTGCAGTACCCTTTTTTTTTCTGCTTGAATGATCCATTGAAATTCTGCATAGTAAATTCACAGTAAAATAGCATATCATTCCTTTTTTTCTTCGTAGCATTACAAAATATACTTTGGGGGGATATTTCTCATTCATAATTCCCTCTCCAAAAAAAATGTATAAGAAACATCTGAAACATAAGCGATGAACTGTCCCTGAGTTTTATTGTAGTTATACGTGTCAAGGCTTTTGTTTGATGCAAGCCAAAAGTGTTTTTGACTTTTTAATTTGAGATTTTTCTCAACGGTGCATGTGATAATTTGAGAGACCTATGCATCCTGCTGTAAATCTATCTCACATAGAGGGTGATGCTCTGAAGTGCAACATGAAGCTGGTCAGTCATGCCATGCTGCTCTGGGAATTTCATGCAGCAGACTGAACCTGTGCCTAATGGAGGTGAAAGGATACAGTTCGTACAAAGTGCATATGTGGGGTCACTCTGAGAGCCTGGCACTCTCAAGGAATCCTCTTGTGAGCTCAGAGGTGGTGTTTTCAGGGCACCCAGAGGGGTGCATGAAGCGCTATATAATCTGAATGGTCAGGAGATGTCATCTCAAGGGCACTTCTGAAAATGCTATAATTGGGCAGAGTAGGTGCAGTCATTAGATCTCTGCATAATAACCAGCAGCATTATATCTTGCTGACTTGCTATTCACAGCCTGATTAAAAGGCCTGGTGACAGATGAGGGTGAGAGGACAAACAGACCTGTGACCACCTTCTTTCATGCTATTTTATATACCAGCTTTCTATTTTGGTCTGCTGTTGTGACGAGACGGTACTCATCGCAACATACTTGTACGTGCTCTCTGACCATGAAAAAACAAATACGATGAATCCACTGGGGAAAAAAAAAGACTGTAATCTTGAGGATCACATATTGGTTCACGAAAATACTTTTATTTTCTGGGTTAAGGTGGCTTTCCTTGAAATTTTCAGTTATTTCATTTTCTTTGTCAGTTGTTTATTTGTCTATCTCAGCCACTTCTTGTCATGAATTTGTATAGGGAACTCTGTATTTTTGTGTCAATATATAGGTTGGTGAAGAAAATAGTTATTACCGTTAACAATTTCTATTTGTCTAGAAAAAATTAAACTTTAAATCTTTTTTTGAGGGATGGTCTACAAGCTACAGCAACAAGGAAAATCCTAGTGCTTCCACTTTTTTCTCTTTTGATGGCTATTTCTTCAGTGCTATTCAAACACTGAATGAAAAGCCCCTCTTGCAGTTCTGCAGTTAAAACAACAAAGCACTGCCTATGTTTCTTCTTTAACACAGCTCTAAGGATTTATTCTTTGCTCCTTTATTCTTCCTTTTTCTGAAGTTTACTTGTCCTTTTCCCCTTTAAAATCTCTTTATCTAAAGCTGAATTAGTTTTCCCAGCTGGTTGGCAAACTGCCATCGTTTTCTGCTCTGACACTTATTTGTCAATTTTCAGTTGCCTTCAAACTTTTTACTTTTCTTAGCTTCTAATTCTTTTTCCTATTTCACAGCTTCACTGATTCAAGTTTTAGTTACTATAATAGAAGAGGAGAGTAAAATCCGTCCTGGGAGAGACACAAGGACCCATTCTCTACAATGACAGAAGTAAAGCAAAAATACTATGAGATTTTCCCATCGAAGGCTTTAAAATAGCAAAGTCTATGCTCTCTATAATCTGATCCTACTTTCAGGTAATCTTCTACAGTATTTAAGTTCTGCCCTTGCAGATTAAACGTTTGTAAATCGAGTTTTGTATAATTTTTAGACTTTCTAGAAGCTACTATTTTGCTTTATTTATTTTAGAGAGATCACTTCAGTTTTAAAACACTAAGGATTAAGGATTTTTTAATTGTTTTTTTAATACTCCTGCAGATGGCTTTCACAACTCAGAGTTCATAGAAAAATTGCCTAACTCAGTCTGAGAATTCCATTCCTAATACCATTAGAGCAATTTGTCAACCTGTATGTAATGAAGATTGTAGACTAACAATTTCTAATGATATTTAGAAAATAAGAAAATTTTGATTTGATGCTGTTTTATTCTTTGCAACATAACAAAATGTATTCTCTTATGTATGGTTTTCTATGGATGTTGCATTTCAGGAGTCTCACAGGCCATTGTACCCGGCAGAGACAGAAGGACATGTAAGGAGTTCCTACGAACAGTGTGGCCTTCTTAAGCTTTGGATATCAGTATATTGGGTTATAGAAGCACTGTGCAGGTATTATTCTGCCCTCTCAAAGAACGAGAATAGAATATGTAGCAAAACTGACAAGGGGGAAGTGCCCAAATATCATATCTTTATTCCCAATTCTTTAGTGTTAATTCTTTAGTCTTCTGAACATATGAAAAAGGCAGCATAAACCTTCCATATCAGACTGAGCCCTTTCTTGCTGCAGGGATTACTATAGAATTATTAACATTATTATTATTTTAATATGGCAACTGCAACTTCACCTTTATTGGGAGTGGAATAGAGTGTTTCTCATGATGCCAGACTGGATAGAGGTCAGAATTTTTACCTTCCGCATAGCCACAGCTTAGTAGAGTGGGTCAGGGCGCTGTATACATCGTCATGTCTTGGCAGTTTGAATAGAGCTGAAAGCAGATGGAATGAAAGGCCGCATCTAAAGAAGGGGAGAAACAGCATTAGGGCTCTCAATAGCCTTTCTAATATGTGGGATTCTGGAAACTGGCTGGACCAGCTGTGAAATGGCGAATACTGGCAGCAGCTGTCCAGTAAGTGGAAATGTAAGTAATGACTACCTTTGTGGCTGAGTTACTGCAGTGCAATTCCCCACTGAATTAAATTGTTAAAGTTACAGCCTAATTAAACCACACCTCTCACATCATGTATTTCTTCCTACATATCTGAAACAAAGTCTAACGTGTCTAGTCTTATCATTTCTTCCCCGCTGTTCCACTTACAGGGAATTACAGCTCTGCGCTTTTTAAATTTTATTCGCTTCTAGCTTTGTGACATAGACAAATCTTCACAAAGATGTGGAATGAAACTGTGGAACAATAAAATTAGAATAACTTAAAACTGACCTTTCTGTAAAAGAAGTGAGTCATAAAAATTAATATTAAAATCACTCTTAATGCATCATATGTATCTGGTAAATTATTAAACCTTCAAATACTAACCTCAGAATAGTGATGCATTATTTTATTCTGTTGCAGAGTGGTGAAATAATTGTTTCAAGTAGTTTAACATTTTTTTATCATATTAAGATGTTTTGAACTAGCTTCACTTGGAGTCAAGGTCTTTACTGTAAGTTTTATCATAGTAAAGTTGATTAAATGTCTTTAATGCATCAGCAATAAGCACAGTATATCAGTATGAAATTAGTATAAAGAGCTTTACAACACTCTTGTCCTCTTAAATTAGTTTAAATGTGCTATGTAAAATAACTATATTGGGAGTGAAAAGTAGTCTCCTTAAGTAATTTGAAAAATTTCAGTAGAAATCCCTGTCATTTTCAAATTAGGAAAGGGCAAAAATTGAATTTCAATAAAAATTTTATTTTAGGAGCTTTGCAACATGATGTATTATGATCATGTATTGAAACTGGTCACATTTTTTTCTCATAGTGCATTTGAACTGGATAAACAATGCTCATTTAATGAATAACATTTGTTTTGGTTTTATCAATCAATATGTCGGCCTAGTTCCTCTTTACAGCATCATTTTCAAATCATCTCTAAGTAGAAGAATATCAGCATTCTTTTCAAGCGTTTCTTTGTTGACTGTAATCACTGTATCTGAATTTTTAACAAACGGTAACTACTGTTTCTTCATAGTACTGTGAAGCAGCTTGTGTTACCTGCATTTTACAAATGGGGACCTGAGGTACAGAGAGATTAAGATCAAAGTATCTACCAATCCGGGGCCCTTACTACCTGTTCCAGCTTCTCATCTTTTTAAGTTTTCAATCACACAGCCTTCTTACTCAATTACTCTTTTTTCTTGTTATTCAGGCTCACTCTTCTTACCCTGTATGATCCCATTTCTCCTCCAAGTTCCCAGGCTTCACCAGACTTCTTAGGTTTTATTTGTAAATTCTTGTTTAGTTGGTTAATTCTTGCAGTATCACTGATTATAGACAGCGGAGTAATTTCATTCAAGTTCACATCTGCAGCATATTTCTGGAAGAGTAACAAGAAATATTCATAAAGATTATAAAAGACCGTTTATGAAACTGGGCACTCTCTTGAAAAATCAGGCAGTTTGTTTGCCTGAAAATGCTCCACTGTTTTTGTATCTATTATAGAAAAAAAGCAGCCCTAAGGCATTAGTATTGTGATTCTGCTGTTGAAAGCAGAAATACTCCTGGAATTTACAAATGCCAACAAAAATCACATATAAAAGTATCCACAAAACACTGTCAACATAGGAAGTCTCTAAAATATTTAATATCACCAAGAAATGGTTTCCAGATTATGAAATATCACATACTAAAAATGTCTTCCTGCCAAAGTACTGCTCTAAAATATTAGATTTTACTTCCAGGTTTTATTCCCCGCACAACACTTCCAAAGAATAAAGTAGCTTCTCTGAGTCCTTTTTTTTGCTGTCATAGCCTATCTTGAACATATAAACAAAGTCTTTTTTTAATCTAATCAAGTCACAGCTTGTAAGCAATATCTCCAGTATTGCAAAGAATATGGAAAATTTCAGTGCATATTCCTGTATTATCTGGGGCAACACTGGAGAAACAAGCAACAAGGTGACCTCTTCTTTTAGAAAAGAGATGTTGACCTTTTATCAAACATGATGGAAAGAAAAGTCCTATAAAAGACAGAGAGGAGGAAGTGAGAGGGACTCCTATGAAAAGCTATATTTAAGAAAAAAAAGGGCACAAAATGGTACTGGATACTTTTATTTCATCTAGACTATAATATTTGCAGAAATACCTACTAGCCAAAAGGAAACTTGGACACTGTGCTTTATCTTTCTCAGAAAGGTTATAAGTTCATGCAGAGTGAGGAAAATTTGAGATAATGTCTGGTTTGGGGCCAAACCATTCAAATGTTGATGGAAATACAACATTTTATATCTGAAATAAAGCATTGATAAGGGAACATTTATTCCCATTAAAGAATGTTTCAAATGAGCTAGCTAAGTAATTTTTGCTCAGAAGTTGCAAAGGAACTAGTGAATCACTGCCAATTTTTATTCTATCTTGGAAAACTAGAAAACAGTTTTGTTGTCCTGTTATCCAGAAAAGGATGACACAGAATAACAAATTAGCTAGCCTGACCTTCATTTCAGGTACAAGAATGGATTTGTTACCTTGGAACTTTACTGGTAATGAACGAGAGGCAACAATTATGATTAATACTTGTCAGATTGCTTTTTTTTTTTTTGAGGAATCTTTTTCTATTTGTTTTTGCTTTTGATTGGATTACAGGGATAGTTAACAAAAGTATTTATGCATATGTATTAGACTTAATTCACTTACTATATGGAGTAAAGGGTTTGATTCAAAAACTTGCATTTTATGGAATTTTCAGGGTATGGGCTAAAGGGATTAGAAACTGGGTTTTTGGCACATTTTAAAGTGCAGTAGCTATGGCAAAAGATCAATCAGCAAGGCTGTTTTTTCCAGGATCCTTTGGAAATTGTTTCTTGATCCAATTCTATCCCCTCTCTCTCGCTCTCTCTATATATAATATGTGCCTTTCAGAGCGTGCTCTGTGGATCCCTGAAGAGCAAAAGGATATACAGAAATTGTATGCAAAAAAATAACTAGAAAAAGTAAGTTATTTTAATTGGTTTAAATTTGTTACATGATAATTCACATTTCTGCTAGAAAACTGAGCAGCAGGGAGAAAGGTCTGAAAGCTCTAAAAGTTGTTAAAAAGTATCTAGCATCTGCTAAACTTTATCAGTGAATATTGTATACAGTTGGAGAATGATCAAAGATTGGTAGATTGTTAGAAACTAAGGGACAGATTACTTTTACAGCAATCTAAATCACCTGATCGAAAAGGTTACAATGCAAAAAAAAGTGATTTAATACAGTCACATGAAAGGGAATATGTCTGGGAACAAAAAAAGCAGTTTATTTCTACAGGATGGCAGTGACTAAGAGTAGGTTTTAAGGATTATCAGAGATTACAGTCTCAGCTTGAGTTTTTGGTGCTTCTATGACAAGAGGGCTAACAAAACTTTGGAATGGATAATGAAGGGGAGGACTCTCAAGTGAAAAAAAGGAAGTGAAGTTGTCTTTGTTCTTAGAATTGATAAGACTACATTAAAATACCGTCTTACTCTAGTGTTCACGTTTCAATAGGGATGTGGATATGCAGGAGAGGAGATGCTGCAAAAAGAACCATGTAGCTGTGAATTTTACATGACGGTGTGAGGCTTAAGCAATTAAATGTGTTCCATGTATTAAAGAGAAGTTTAAGAGATGGAGTGATCAGGGAATGATCAGTGAGCATTTAAGCATGGGTTTGATAGCACAAAGCTTTTTGATCTTGCTGACAAAAACAGAACACAAGCTAATTACTGGGAGTTGAAATTATGAAATTCTTTCTAGAAATACACTATTCCGAGAATAAATTCTTGGGAGAGCTGAAGGAGACTTGGTGCCCTTAAAGCAAAATTAGATACACTTTGATCCAGTTTATGGAAAGCATCCTTCTAGCAGTATAGACGGTCAAACTGAATAACTATGGTGTCATTTCTGGAATTTGAGGCTGAGACTGAGTCCCCTTATGTTCTCGAGTTGGGGAAGAAAAGTAAGGAGAATGACAGTAATAGAAAAACTTGCTTTCCTCTCAACAAACTCATGTTTGTACCCCAGAGTAAGGCAGTGTGTATAATGAAATCTTGTAATTTTGGCCTTAAAATAATTGCCTTTAAAGTCAAGCTGGTTTTGTTTCATTTGATATATATCTCACAGATGTATTCTCGGTATGGATTTTTGATTTTTTATTTCCTCGAGAGCGCCAACACTTGTTGATGGTTAGAGACAGGACCACAGATACAGTAAATCATACTGTGTCAAAGAGCTGAAACTCATTGTCTTATTGATATCAGTTGGCAAAAATTTCTTCCCAGCTTGCTTTGCAGGGGCCTGTAGGGTTTTCTTTTTCCTTTTAATCATGGATACAGTTCACTAAATTATGTCTTAAGCAAGCAGTAAGTCTTACTGTAAGCAGTAAGATGTGTGCTTTCTACCCTTTTGCTCAGCATACATCTGTTAGGACTCTTCTCTCAGTCCGACAAAATATATAGATCCATGAAATAGAATATGGGGTAAAACTTGATAAGCTGTGATGTCAGAATACATGATCCAGTTGTCATTTCTGGCATCTATAAAGTATATTAAACCATGTAAAACAAATAGATAAGTAACTTACATAATAAGTAGGTAAATATGGACTAATTTTAATGAGGAGGTAAGCAGAAACACTATAAGGCATTATATTACACAAGTTGTTCTCCACTGTTTTTTAGTGATAAGGTTTTTAAGCATCTTTTTATAAGCTTTCCCTCTGTTGTGACAGGATTACTTCTGCAGCTCTATAAGTAAACTACAAAAAAGGTGTCTTAAAAAATTGTCTGGCAGCTTAGTTCTCATCTGCCCAAGAAAGAAACCTATATATGTGGCACAGGAAATCAATGTTCAATGCAAAAGCAGCTTTTTATCTGGGAACCTTTTCCTACTTTTCTTTCTGAAACTTAAGGCACTGAACAGCAGACATCATCCATTGCCTGCTTCCATCCTGGCCTCTGTATACGAGAAAACGTCTTACCCTAAATTCAATGGGCTATTTGGGACGTCAGTGCTGTGCATACCTTTGCTTCATTCACATCTGTCCTTGGGATTGAAAGTAGATTTCAGACTAATGAAGGCAACACATACAAGGTTCTTTGGTTCCCACTGTAGAGTAAACAGAGTCACCATCAATTAGCCATGAAGCCAGGTAGCATTTGTGTCCATATACCCTGAATTACAGGATGCTGCTTGCTGGGAACTGAAAATAATGGGACTGAATGAGAACTGCTACAGTCTCAACTTTGACCTTTATAGTTGCACAGTGACGTGCTTTCTTTTTTACTCAGCAGGGACGTTGCCAGATACACAGCTTCTACAGAACGATAGTGGTTGCTTTCATGCAGCACTTTCGCACCTCTGGTGCTGTAAGAACCAAGGGCCCAGGGAGCAATGACAGGCCATGGGTTACCTATTGGGTAGCAGAGAGTGCAGGGGAATTATTTATTTCTGTAGTGTTATTTAGCAATGGAGATAGGAGGAATATACCAGAAAAATAGCCCCTGCATGTGTGTCCCTTCAGAACAGACTCCCTTTGTTTTTAAGTAAATGAGGAAAAGAGGGAGTGTTGCTAAAAATCTATTGAAGTGTGTGTTACCTAAGTCACAGGGCCACATGAAGTTTATCAGACTGCCTTTCCATCTTGTGTGGAAAGCTCTGTTTAGCTGTCGCCATGAGTATGCCTTTTAGACATTTGATTAAAATGTTGCAATGCAGGTGTACATATTAGAGGGGGAAGGCAAAATGGAATGTTTGCAATAGTAGTCTGTTGTTTTTCTCTAGCGTATACTGCTTGTACTCTCAGCCACGATTATTTAGTGGCAGTTTTTCAAGTCACCTATTTAAGAAGTTAGAAAGACTTTATTTTAGGTGACCCACAAAGTGTAATTGTCAACAAAGGGAGATTCTTGCCCTCCATGGCACACTGATGAATGATCTCTTGGTCTATTGTAGACCTGATGCATCCTACACTTGCAAGATGCGGGGAGGATGGTAGTGATGTCAACTGCAAAAGAGACAGTAATCTGAAAGTACAACTTGATATGATGACTTCACACTAATAGGCTATAAATTTAATTTCCTCTTTCATCAGGCTGCCATTCAGTAGTCCTTTTGAACCAAGAACTCCTGATAGTTTAACCACTCCATAAGACAACACTATCACTGTATTGTAGCCACACTTAAGCAATCACTATGCCTTCTTGGAGAAAACTGAGATGATTTTGCCTAGAAAGACAAATCTAGATTTCTTACACTGCTGTTCTAAACATTTCATAACTAAGCAATAACATTTGATTTTGTGAAGCATGAATTTAAGACTAAGTGTTTATATTATCTTACTTATAGCACTGCTAAATAGTACTAGCTTCCTGGACTATTTTATTTCTATTATAAAATGGCTTTTTTAAAAAGAAAAGTGCAATGCCTCAATATAAAATTTATTCTAGCCTTAAAATTCCAAGTCACACAATAATGTTTAGTGTTATTCTCCAAAGGAATTTTTTTTTCACTGTCATGAAGTCACCTGTATTGTCTTCTATAAGGAATAACCCCACTTCAGGTCTTGTGATAATCATACTCTTTGCATGCTGGACCTACCTTCCAACCTTTTGCCTCAATACTTGCCTGAGTAGGCTGTTATCACACACAAACCTTGTATTTCCTCATGCACACTTTAATCCTGATAATCTTGTCGAATTTTTTTTTTACCCGTGGAAATGTACACATATCCAATGCAAATATTACTCTTAGGAGTTCATTTCAGTATCATGTATATATGGAATTTTGATAGGGATTAAAAATAATCAATTTAATAATAATACATTTAAAAACTCTAGTATGCTGAAATCAAAAAAGTTGCTATATTATTGAAAATGAAAATTAATTTCCTATGACTTACATAATTTTCCTTTGGTAAGCTCTTGGCACATAACCAATTACACTTATAATTTACTATACTATCATCTGTTTTTATCTCAATAATTCAGTAAACGGTGATAGTCATCTCTATTAAAAACCCTGGTCAATTAAACTGTTACTATTCTTGGGAGTCAAAAAGTTCCATGATCGTAGGACTGAAAATAAAGGAAATGAATACCAATAGCTACAGTCCTCCGTGTGATATTGCCCTGCAAAAAGAGCACAGAAAAGTACCACTGTGGATAGTTGTGCTCCATTGCCCCTGCAGGGACAAGGTCTGATTACAGTGTTAATGTCTGAAGAAACAGGTAATCTGCAGGAGTCATAAGATCTAAGGCATGGATGGCTTTATAGATCCAAACCACATGTTTAAATTGAGTCTTAGAGGAAAATAAAAGCTAGTGCGATTTCTAGAGCCCATCATATCCATCCCGCATCACACAAAAGATTTACAAATGTTATTCTAGGGTTTCTCCAGAATAGTAGCAATTTCTCAGAATGGTTTTGCTATATAATAAATTGATCTGGCTGGGATGTATGTTATGTATTTATTATTTTATTATCACAAATATAAATATATAATTTTGTATTATCTTATTTTCTATATTATATATTATAGATATTATTATAAATAATAATATCTACTACTGTGTTATTTATTTATTTAATCTTGCTAGGATCTAGGCTATTTATGTCTTTTTTATTCCCACAGATTTCTAAAACTTCCTCCCCCCCTGAGCTTTTTTTATCCATTTTAAACTAGTTAGTTAAGCCTCCTCTATGGAAAATAGAGAGACATACTCACCTATAAAGGCCCACTGATCTTACTTGCCTTATAGCACTCTCCCAAGTACCTTCACAGGGCAATTCTGTTAGTCTTATTTTTCTCCAGTGACAGCAGGGTGAGTGCAAACTACCAGCTTAATCCTTAGTTTTTAGATGTCTAAAGTTATGTGTAAATGAATCCTGTCTTAACTGAGGTGTAAAAGGAGACAGCTCACTTGACAACACACCAACAGGACAAGAAATTTTTGACTACAACTGCAGTCTATGTATTAAAAAATATTCAAGGAACATTTTTCCTTCCCCCAGCATACTTAAACAACAAAAAAGTCAATAGAATTCTCTGTTGCAGGAACAGATTTCATCCTTCTATTTAGTCATTTTCCCTCACCTTCTTTATCTGGATGATGCTGTATCAAGCTAGTTTAAGTCCAGATATCAGTCTTGGCCTTGAGAGGCCCTAGGAAATCTGATCACCTGCACTGGCTCTAAAGCTAGAAATAGGTGTCACCAGTTGCTTTGGTGTCAGACCATGCCCATTCACCTTACTCTAAGAACACATTAGGATTTATTGAAAGAACGTCAGAAAAGAACAGAGGCACAAATCTAGAAAGCTATAGCTGCAAGACATGTAAAGTCCCCCACAGAATAACCGCAGCAATTGTTTCATGTGTGACAGAAATGCCAGATGGGAGAATGCTCTTTCTGAAATTAAATTTTTAGTAACTGCAAAAACAAGTCTTAACTAAAATTAGGATGACAATCGACAGCCCAGCTGGGTGCACAGAAGACTTAGAGGCAACACCATGCTATTTCATAGATGTCGTGTTTCATTTTACTACAGATTTGCAAAGGTATTTCGGCATTGCGATGCTGAGTATCAATGAAGGTAAAGCTTGTGAAGTACAGTTTACAGGACCCAAAGAAACTTTCTGTACTCACTACAGAATGCATGAACAAATATCTTCAGATAGAATCCCAATCAAGAGCTGTCCAAAATAATCTATACAAAACACTGAAAAGGTATCTAAAATCCCATCCACACAAGGTTCAGATTTTTCGTTCCTACCTTTAAGAGAAACTTTTATTTTAAACTAAGTTTTAGAGATCTGAGCACTCTTCTGGAGAGAAGTGGTTATATTGTTCTATGTTAAAAATAAACATTGTTAAAAGGCTTTGCTATGATGTTGCTGTGTCCAACCCAGTTCCAGCAGTAACTACAGTACTTACCCAGTATATGGGTAACAGGTTTATTTCTTTCATGTTTTTGAAAAGTATCAAACCTTTATCTCCTACCTATGAAAACCCAGTCTAAACAGTCCATAGGGTCAAAGAGAAATCCCCAGAATCTCTTGTCGCTGGCTAGTTAGTACCTAAACTATCACACTGTGAGTTAGGCTAGAGGCATTCCTTGTTTCTTCTTTGAAACTACGTCGCTTTTACAGTATAGTTATCAGGATTCATCAGGAGAGCACATGAGGGTTCATGCAGGTAGCCCAGTACTTAGAGCATTAATTGGAAAGAACCTTTTAATATAATCACTGCTCTAAGAAATGTTTTCTTATTTTATCCAATTGCACTTTCATGTGTGATACATAGCCAGGTCTTGTAACAAAGACTAGAACTCCGCCTTCTCCTCCTGTAGCTAGACATTAAGTGTGCTTTATTAAATGAATGCATTATCATTTCTCTTTTGTCCACATTTGTATGAAATTGATATCCACTTCTATGTTTAATGCAGAGCCTAATCTTATAGCTATGCGTTAGGCATGAGCCAAGCATTCCTATTGGATCTGGGACCATAGACAGGAGTATATCCAGTTAGCTCTTCCTGGTAGGGCTTTGGCTTTGCCTGAATGGACTCATTTCCAAAGCAAACTGTAGGTGCTAAGGGCACTTCTAACAAGTATGTTAAGTACCTCTATGCATTGGCAGTGATGTTAAGTCTTCTGCTGGTAAGCACAGTTTAAGCCTGAAAGTTCAAACTCCTACTATGTTAGATCAGAAGATAAAATCCTGTTGTGGATCTAGCCCTCTCTGCCACAGTTTCTTATCTGTACTGCTGCTAATAACATTCATATTTTCTCCATCATGTTGTTATTGATATATTAAATATACATTAAATATTATAAGGAGCTCATGACTTAAGAAAGGGAATCAGATGGGTGCACCATGGTGGCCGGGGCGGGGAGGGTTGAGGGGGAGGGAAAAGGAGGGGAAGCCACAATATTCAGGGAAAAGTTACACTGTTCAGTATGCATGACAAACATTTAAAAGCACCTGAGCAGCTCAGAAGCCTCCATGCTATTATGAGTCATTAGGAAATAAGGCCCTAAATTTGATAAGGGCCTTTTAAAAATGTTAACTAAAATCTACACTTAAGTGAGACCCAAAGCTCTTAGAAA